AACAAACTTTTCTACAGAACTTGTTAGTTTATTTTAGAGAAATTAGAAATGCAGAAGCTAGAACTAGTAATCTGCACTCAGAAATTGTGATGCATAAATAAAAATAGAATGAATAAAATTAACAAAGACATGGTTAGCAGATTTGGAAACTATTTCTGTATTTATATAGTGCTTAATGCATATTAATGAGAATTTTAAGGGGGTTTGTTTGTTTCATGTTCTAGTCTTCATTTAACTAAGTGATTATCTCTTTTATTTGAAAAATATATACATACAGTAGGCAAAATACTTTGAAGCTGTATGGCTTCCCATTCTTCCTTCATCCTCTAATAATGATAGAACTTCTAGATCTCGATGAAAATAAATTTCTTCAATTTCTTTTCAGATTAAATGTGATGAATTATCATATTGTGTAGGTTTCTAGTTTAGATTTAGTATGCTATACACTTCTGACTCTATAATCTTTATCTAATTGTTTCAAAAGAGGATTGTATCGGTATCTTAGAGTGGAACATCAGTGTATCCAGAGATATGGTATAAATCATTATTCACAGCTAGTCTATAACTTAAATAGTTTGTGACTTTTGAAGATACTGTCCCAGAATTGGTCAGTTTTAGAAAAGATAATTTAGCTAGTTAGACATTTTAAACATGGTAAAGAATCATCCAACAAATTGATCAAATACTACTGGGTCTATTTTGGCTAAGAAATTTATTGAAGCCCGATGATAATGCTTAACTTTTGGGAATGCAATGACTGTGTTCTTGTCTTTTTAACTTCACCTAGGCACAAAGGCACTAGTGAAGCCAATCAGAAAACTAAACTTATTCCTTGTTTTGAAAATTTAGTAGATCAGATAGATGATGAAGGATGCTTTTAATTTTATCAAAATCATCTGCGGTGATTTCAGAAGTCAGTTGAGTAGCCTTACTTCTCCATTCTGAATTTATACTTACTGTATATATACTGTAGATAGAAAGGGTTTTGGAATTTTGAATGATAGAGGCCTATAGGTATATGCATTTCTTCAGTTGTAAAATAAGCTTTCTGTAACTGAGGAATATATTTGAAATTATTTTTCCATGTTGAAATGCAAAACTTTATTTATAAAGTTGTGAATCAGATATAATGAACAGTTGTTAAGTGGCATACAATATACAATAGTTAGGAGTCATGTTTGGTAAGATTACCATAGTGTAGTCATTTTACTGATTAGAAGCATATTTTATAATAGAAACAGTACACACAATGCTAATGTTAAAACCCACCAAATTATCCCCGTTAGTTACTTCTAATTTTCTTATTATCTTCAAAGTTAATGCTCTTGAGTATCTTATTTTCAGAACAGAAATCTGGGGGTTTTTGTGATGATTATTTCATTGGGTGTTGCACCTCTATTTTCTGATTATTATTTAAAAAACCTTCAAATATCAATGAAATGTTTGCTTCTTTCAGGTACTTTCAGCCAACTATTGCTCTAAAACAGTGGGTAATTTATAATCTAATAAATATTATTGTCCTGTTTCATCCAAAGAGAGTTCCTCAAATTTCTAGTGATCTGTATTGGAAAGATCTTTTTTAGGTCTGAAAGGTGCAGCCAGATTTCAGAATAGGTTCTGGCAGATTTGGGAAGTTATTAACTAGGAAATTAATTAGAATGTGTTTTCATGAAACGGAAAAAAAACAAAACCAAACAGGAAGAAAAAGAACTAGCCTTCCAAAAGGAACTCTGTGACTACAGTTATTTTGTACCATAGTATATCTGATAATAAAAATAGGAAATATTACAATTTGTTCCTCACTCACCCTCAATTACAATTTCTATAGTAATTACCTGCTCCTGGCATATTCCTCAGGGGCACACAGCCCCTACCCCACTTTTGGCATGACAGACTTCAAATAATCATTCTACTCTTAATGTCAGTGACAGTCAGACACCAGAAAAAAATGAATCATTTTACAGTTCCTGTGCAGATGTAGCTTCCCACAGCTCTGTTGTTAAATAAAATGTTATTATAGGGGATACTTCTTCAAAGTATTTTAAATGCTAAGCACTGCCACAGTTAAGGCAGGGAAAGTTCTGCTCCATCTCTTACCCCTCCTTTTGCAGACCAGGCCTTCTAGCAGAAATGTTGTCTCAGTGGTACACCGTGAGAGGCAAAACAAAGCAAATGATGGTGTACTGTCCTAGAGAGGTAACTTAAACACTGCAACAATGGACTCTCTATCTTCCTTAAAAGACAATCAGAAGGCAGCAAAAGATTCAACAGTACTGTTGACATGGTAGGAGAAGATTGGGAACCTTCACCAATTCCAGTCACATGCCAGAACATTTGTTCATATATTAACAAAGCCAGTGGATTTTTATACACACAATAAACCCCCCCACACTTTATCCTTTCCCTAGAAATCATCCTAAAGGAATAAGGAATCCAGAGCTGAAAGTGCAATTAATACAGCATTCACAATTTTCAGGGCACTGTCTGATTAGATACTCTTCACAATATGCACACTTGCACTGTATGAACACGTCAGAGCCAAACACTGTGTGTGAGCAGAATTTGCAGGAAGTGTTATAGCTCCAGCTTTGCAATGGTATCGATTGTAGGGAAATACTGAGGCTGCACAGAAGTGCTAAACCTATCCTAACCCCACTGAAAATTTCTCCACGATTTCTTATTATAAACACCATCTATCAGTTACTGCTGGATTTCCCACAGTCACCTGAAATTTCCACTTTCAAATTGCTTATATGGACTTTTGGATTTGATTTCTCTTCCTGAAGACATATGGATATAAGTCCATAAAAAACCCCCACAAAATCTCTTTTGATTTGTTACCATCCAGAAACTTCAGGATGGCCTTAGAAAACAAAAGCATAATGCCTGAACCAAGCAAAGATGGGGATGAACAGAGCAATTGACTTGTCAAAGTCACCTTGAAATTGGTATTCAGAACTTCTCAGCACAACAACAAGGGCTTTTACTCCTTTTTCTTGTGCACATATATCACATATTCACCTGGAAAGCAGAGGAGTTTCTGTCTTAGCATGGCATTTGGTTTTGTCCTCAGCTGTTTTGATAGAATATACAGCAGTACACTGTAAACTGAGCCATTCAATCTACCTTAAAGAAGAAATAAACAAATAATACCTATGGCACAACCAGTGACCTGCCTTATAGCACAGACCCACAAACACTGAGGCAGAGAAAGGGGTAAACACTGCCAAGGGATCACTAGCCAGGTGTGGATGGGAACTTCCCAAGTTCTTCTGCTGCTGAGGATGACATGTCATGCAACCACACATTTAGCATCTGCATAGACTATAAGCCCCTCAACTTCCTAAATGCATATTACAAACCTTTTAAAAAGTAACATATACAGAAAATTTCTAGGCTTGTAACGTCATAAAATGAAGTTACTAGCAAGGCACTTATAATTGTATTTATGAGAACTAACCACAAGGAAAGTAGTAAATGTATAGTAAAATATAATTTAAAAAAATCAGAATATATGAAAAGACATAGAAGACTTTGCTAAAAGTTCATTGGAAATGACAATCAACTTTTATTAGATCAGCTTACAAGAAAAATACTGAACTCTCAGGCTGAAACTCTGAATGGGTTTTTCTGTGATACTAATTGATCTCATAACTTACACCACTTTACACTTCCTGTATCTCTTATATTCTTAAATTGCCATGGATAAGCACTACTGCTATACTGTCTTATATATCTACATTGAAAAAATTTGTTTCATAACTGAGCAACTTAGTTGGGTGATAGAATATCTTGTTCTTCATCTTACAGCTGTTACACAGAGCAACATTCTTTGCAGCTGCAAATAAGCACACACTCTTCATGTTCCTTTATGTTCTTCAGCAAAAGACCCGTACTATGATTCAGTGGATCATGGCTATCCCCTAATTTCATGTGGTATAGTTTGATAGTGCTGAGGAATACATAATTATTTGCAAATATAGCAGCTATACAGCTATGATAAAGTCATGAATGCAGGGCTTCTTTATAGAAGAGCTTTCTTTGTGGTAAACAAACCCTTTTGTATCAATGAGTTATCAAACAACATCGCAGCTTCTAATCTAATTCAAAACAAATTTATCTATGGTTCCTGACCCCTTAAACCTCAAAGTTCCTAAATTTCTAATGGCACTGAATATAATTATATTCTGACAATGCATTTATTAGCTTGTTGTTGATCACTACTTCAACAAACAAAGTTTTCCTTGAATACCATCAGCACCTGTTCATGACCACTTCTGGTATTCGAGCCACCTAGATTTCAAAGCACATGGCATTTGGTTTTTAGATCAGCTTCTGTCAATTTGCACAATAATAATAGCATAAAGCTTTCAAGTAAGCTGTTTCCACATGCATCTGTATTACAAGATGCTCTCCAGCATAACTTGAGATACTGCTTTACCATGACATTCTTTGGTACCTGGATTACTTTAATGGTCTCTGAACCCAAAATCTATATGAATATTACTCACAAAACTTTTTAGATGATCCAGAATACATTACTGATTTGTGATGTCTCAGGGTTAATTTTTAGAACTACCCTAAGTATCAAAAAAAATATTTTTTCTCCACTTATATTTGCTTGGGTGTGTACTCTTGATTGGTCCTTAGCCTTCTACCCTTACTCTAGAAATTCTTATTGCATTGTAGGCACTACAGAAAGAATGCTTTATGAAATGTGTGCTAGTCTTAAAACCTCAAAAACTGTGAAAGAAATAATCACATTTAAAACCAAACATCTTCCAAATGTTAATAAACAAATTAGTAAAAATATAAACTCTAAGGACACTCTACTATACCATCATATAGGGTGATTTTTTTTTCTTGAATTATAATTACATAAAATTCTAAAACATAAAATATATTTACACAGGATATTACAGTTTTAAAACAATTCTATATATGTAATTAAAACATGAAAATGGGTGACAATTCACTTGTTAAGATATGAAAAATCCTACCTGTTTGCTTTCTTCCATATCAGATTCGCTGCTAAATTCTTCTGTATTTAAATTTTCAAAATCTGATTCTCCAACTGCAATGGGCACTGTCACAGTGAGGCCTGGGTTGTTTATAAATGACATATAATCATTTTCATCAATTACATATTTTTCCACACTGCTGCCTGTACCCACACCACTCGTGGTTCCATTCCCGTCTTTCAGATAATTCAGATCTTTGCTTATTTCAACAGCAGTATGATTGGAAATGCAGCTGTCTTTCTTGTTGTTTAGCTCTTCAAGCGCTTTGATTTCCTCTAAAGATTTCTGCTTTCTAACGAAGGCTTTTTGGATGAACTCCTGTATCTTTTTTTTGATATAATCTATTCCCTTCTGGATCCTTGCCACAGCAATCTGGAGATTGTTCATTTCATTATCATCATCTGTAGCAGCAAGGTTGTCTGAACTAAATGAGCTCAGCAGCAAGGCCAGAAATAGGTTCAATACCTAAAAGATGAGAGAATACAGAGGTATAGTAAATATATACATATAAGAAATGTTGGACTTGGCAATGCTAGGTTAACAGTTGTACTTGATGATCTCAAAAGCCTTTTCCAATTTAAACGATTCCATGGTTCTAAAAAAATTAGTAGAGCAGGTTGCTGATCATAAATAACTTTCTGGGGCTCTGCACATTTCTGTTGACAGTGTCAAGACTGCAAGGTCATGGAAAAGACTGGGATACAAACATTTTGAACTCTATTTTATAAAAATTTAAATCATGTTAAAATATGTCACTAAAGAAACAGAATTATGACAGATAATGAATTATAGGTTTTAAGCATATCAGAATGAACCACAAAGTTTAACAATAAAAGAAACTTAAAGTGTAAATAATGCATTCTATTTATAACATTGATTTCTATTTATAACATTGATTTCTATTTATAACATTGATTCTATTTATAACACCAATTCAATATTTATCAATTGAAATTTTACATTTTAACTTGTCAGCTTGATTTAAAATTTTTCTATAAAGGTTTCTTGTACAATTTTGAGTTAGAAGATTTTAAGCACGTTTTTAGGCTGGATGGCCAATCACTCTGTGTTTAGTTTTTTGGGTTTTACACCTAAAAAGCCCCAAAGTTCAGTACTTAAATTCAAGATATTCTAAACAAGACCAGATACAATATACATTATTTTTATTAAGTCAGAAGTACAAGTGCTGGAGTTAGCTGCAATGAGAGTACTTCTGAAGAAGCAGCTTTCCAGAAGCTTGTGCAGCATAAGCTGTATTATTTCAAGAGCAGTGAGAAAGACATTTGAATTTAAACGGCACCTCTAAATTAGCTGCAGCACTCCCATGATAAGGTGTTTGATTTGACATTTTGGTGTACTTCTAAATTCCTCTACCCATTGTAAGAGTACTTCAGTGTATAAAAATGAGTGAAAAAAGGAGAAGGGAAATATTGTATGTTTTCACCCCAAATTAGTACATTCAGATTAATTTTTTAATTCTAAACAGAAGTATGACAAACATTTTCATTCCATAGCTCTAAGTCCTGTACATTTGCATTAGAGTTCATGCTCGAAAATGTTCATCACGTACCACTAGGTTACCAATCACCATGACCAGCATGAAAACAATAAGGCACATGGTTTGGCCAGCAACCTCCATGCAGTCCCACATCGTTTCTATCCATTCTCCACACAGCACTCGGAATACAATCAGGAAAGAGTGGAAGAAGTCATGCATGTGCCAGCGTGGAAGTTCACAATTATCAGAGATCTTGCAGACACATTCCTTGTAGCTTTTCCCAAAGAGCTGCATCCCAACCACAGCAAAAATGAACACAATGATGGCCAGCACCAGGGTCAGATTGCCCAGAGCCCCCACCGAATTGCCAATAATCTTAATTAGCATATTTAGAGTTGGCCAAGATTTTGCCAATTTGAAAACTCGAAGCTGCAAAACAAAAATGCAGAGGAATCATTAGTGTTAGTTATGAAATAGAAGCTAGGATCAAGTTGTTTAGCAGAGGGTATCAATTTCTGTAGATTAATTTGTTCTTCAGTAGGAACATACTATTATTTTAATGGAAAGCAGCGAACATGAAGTATTTGTCAAAAATGCATTGTTCAGCATTTCTTTTGAGTGATGCACATAGTAAAAAAATCTAAATTTGTGTTTGTATGACATTTTATTTTAATATTTTTAAACATCTACTTAGAGATGATTGATGAACAATTCTTCAAGACATTTTAGAATTTCATACTCTTTTCATCACCTTCACCAAACCCTTTTTGCTGGTTTGGTTGCACATTTTCCTCAGCACTGCATTAAGCTTTTCATGCTTAGTTAGAGGACAATTTTTTAAGCAAAAAGTTGATGCTGATATTGTGATGTGCATTCAAATCATAAACACTAATTTAAAAACAATATTCATGACCCAAACTATGTTATGTGAAGCTGGTTACCATTGCAAGTAGTGCTAATAAAGTAAGTCACTGCTTCCTATTCTATATATTAGGAGATAACCTAGATTTCCAAGTCATGTGATAACTACTGGTTATAAGGACTTTCAAATCATGAATCCTTTGCCTCTAGAAAACATCTATAAATTAGTGTACAATACTAATTGATATTAAAAATAATTTTTTAGTAGAAACTCAATAATATTTAAACATAAATGTTATCATAATCAGCTTTTTGACTCTTTGTTATATACAATGGAGTTACCAGAAGTTTTTTGTTGCTGCCCATTGAAATAAATGTGTAGAGAGGGTCTGCTTAGGATCTTTACAAGTAACACAAAGCAATGTTCACAATATAAAGACAAAAAATGTCATGATACTTTATGCTGGTGACAATATGTATGTTTTTACAGATATTTAGCTCTAATGATTCTTAATGAAATCAGTGTAATGAAAATGTACAAAATTTTTAAAAGATAGCAGTTAGGGTGGCAAAGGATATCTGTAGGATAGAAGATCAATAGAATAATTTTGATACCAAAAGATATTGAAGGATATCAGTCGACAAACACCTTATCAAACATGGCTTGCAAATTAGGCATATAGGAAAAATAATGACAGCTACTAAAGTTTACAATATATATTTAAATATAATTAAATATTTTAATTGTTACAGGCACCAGTGATTTTTTTTATTATTTTGAGTGAGATGATTGCATGCAAATATTTAATTGTCAAGGTATTTACCAATCTGAACGACCGAAGAACAGATAATCCTTCAACATTTGCCAGACCAAGCTCCATTAAACTAAGGCTAACGATAATACCATCAAAAATATTCCAGCCTTCTTGGAAATAATAATAAGGGTCCATGGCAATTATCTTTAGTACCATTTCTGCTGTGAATATTCCAGTGAATACCTAAAACAAAATGTAATTAATTAATTGAGTTGTTAGGAGAAATTTATATACCTGAGTAAATTGCTTTATGCAACTCGCATTCTCATACCTGTTACTATAAAGAACAGCTGATTGCTATCTCTAAATGGCATTTAAGTATTTCTAAACACTGAATCAGGACACATATAGTAGGACAGAGGTTTGATAAACATACAAAAAGCTATTGACCAGCCGGCAGCTCAGCTCCAGCTCAGATTTGACTGTGCGTGCTGGACCATCCATGCAGCAAATGATGTGATGTGATCTGGTGTTTTCAGTCCCGTTTTAAGAGGATAGTTCCAGTAAAGTAAAAGGAGGTTTGACAGCAATTTTTTTCCTAGCTCACAGTCTAAATAGAAGCATTAGAAGATACTCTCTAATGTCTGACTCTCTAAGGACAGACTCTCTAAGGTCTGTCTTGTAGGAGAGAGTTGAGGAGTTTGGGTGGAATGGACAGGGGAATTTGGAGTTTCTTGTACTGGGCTTTTTGTAAGGATATAGAGGTTTCACACACAGCTACCATGCTGTGTGACAGCTACTTCCTTTTGTGAAAAAGAACTTCAGGATAATAATGTTATTTGAAATATCTGGAAGTGCTGAATGTGAAATTATCAATGCTTCTTAGTGTTTTAAGTCCAGAACGTAACTCAACAATCTTGCAATGAGTAGTGATCAGTAGTTCATGCAGCATAATAAAGACGTTTTGGAGCATGATGTAAAACCATAAAAACATATGAATATTTTGTACAACAATCAAAAGATATCCTATATCAAGTCTACTAACGTACACCAATGTACTCTGCTATTGCCCTGCGAGAGTTCTTTACCTGGCTTGTTCTCAGTCCTACTACAAAGTTTTATGGTAGCAAAGCTAACTTTTTACAGCACTATATAACTACACTCATAATTACCTATTAGTTTAAGAGGATTAGGAGGTGGATATAATGCTGCAGAAACATTCACCATTGTCCAAGAGTAAATTTTAAAGTGTATACTTTTAACAAACTAGAGCTATAGCCAGAAACATTATACTATTAAATTGATGTATAAGAGATGTTTCTGTATTATCAGAAGAATGTAACAGGTATTGCTCTATGTGGTAAAAAGAACACAACAAAGAAAATTATTCTTGACAAAACTCTCATATTTGTCAAAATAATTGAAAAAAAAAAGCCATGAAAAACATTTCATTTCAAGATATTTCCTATTCCACCCACAAACTACTTTTTCTTCAGCATAACCACATCCTTAAATACAGAAATACACTTTAACAGAAGTAAACGCAAGTTTTCTTATCATTAGGAATTTGAATACTGAATGAATTTTAGTATTATGGAAAATTAATCATTGCATTTTAGAACTACTTCTTCAGTCAGATTTGTCTTATTTAATTTATTGTCAAACACACTGTGATGTCACAAGCAAAGAGTAAATTAACATAATTTGAATGGAAAGCACAAAATTAAGGTTAATAGATTAATATAGCAAGGAATGGAGAATTTAATTGAAACCAGCAGGAACAGTATTCAGTGCACATATATAGTCCTAATTAAAGATACCAAATTGTTACAAAGGTAGTTAAAAATATGCTAGCTTAGAGTAAAAAAAAAAAAATATGAGATGGGAAAAAGCAGAAGACCTTGTAAACATAAATAATTGGAAAGAAACAATTTTACCAATATGACAGACCAACATTTTAAACTACAATATTCTGTAATCTGTCATGAACATAAGAATATGGTGCAGTTAGATCTTCATCCAGGAGAAAGGAAACTGTAGTGCACACAAGAACACACAGGTATTAAGTTCAATTTTAGTTCTATTTTTAAAAAACATCATAGAAGGATGTATTGCTATGAGGAAAATGTTTAGACTTTAAAACATTCTCTGACTGAGATATCTATTAGTGTTCCATTTAAACATTAGCTGGCTTTTCAAAACTAATCTTTTTGAGTGATTAGTTCAGAACACTTGGTTGGTTTTGATTTTCAGGACTGCATGCTGTTTGAGTCAATCCAGACCTCTCCTATGTAAACTACTGGTAGTTACATGAGCTGACAAAAACTTAAAATGTATGAATCTGCCTCTGAAATAAACACTTGCAAGGTTCAACCCTCTGCTTCCTCAGCACTAGAAGCAAATGGAGAGAAACAGATAAGAACATGTAAGTGTTATGTTACATTCAGGTATCTGCTGAGAAAAGGAATTACATGTAACCCTAAATCTCTGGATCAGGTTAAAAATGGGAAAGTCATCACCAATAAACTCAGAGATAAAACATGCCTTTTTTTTAGAGATTGAATAGTAATCTTCTCATTTATTAAGTATTTTTAGTTACCTAAAGTGGCAAGGACTTACTGGTAACAAGAAATATGCCTTTTTTTTGGAAAAGTATTTTCACCGTAGTGTGACAAAAAAATTCTAAGAGAAATTCTGACATCTGAATATTTAATTTTGTACAGAAGAAAAATATTTTCCGTTATGGAATATCAGTACCATAATAAAAATTACATAATCTACCTTAACATTTTAAAGAAAAAACCCAAGGTAGACATCAAGAAATGTGGCATTCCAGTGAAGACTGCACTTCCATACATATTCAGTTATTTCATTATAGTAGTTACAAAATAGATTCTTGAAGGTTAAAGGCCAGGAAAAATTGCTTTACCTGTGAAAATCATATATATAATTTCTAAACCGATTATAAAAAAAATCGTAGAGTAAATTTAAAAGGAATTTATACATTTCTTCTTTTAGAAAAGGGTATTTACACCAAGTAGTGCGTGACAAACCACTTACCAGGTTCCCCACAGAAAGGACACTGCTAAACTGTTCTGTCATTGGGTAATGTTCCATGGCCATAAACAAGGTGTTTAAAACAATGCAAATAGTTATAGCAAGATCAACAAATGGATCCATCACAACTAAATTGACGATGTGCTTTACTTTTAACCATGGACTCCAACAATCCCAGATCAAGAAAGTATTTGCAAATCTGTACCAGCACGGTGGGCATTTCTGTCTGGATTCTTCAAGCTCTGAAAGAAAATAGAAAAAATGAATATTCCAATTGTATCCTCTGGAAGTTCTTGTTTAAAATATGGAAAAAGATTGTATCATTCAAATAAACAGCTCTTACTAACATAGTTTTTCTCTCACTTATGTTTAGCCACCTAAAAGTAAGGCACCTAATTTATTTAAGGTGCTCTGCAATCAGTGGACAGTGAAGTACATTCACTAAAGGGTGAATCATCTCAATATCTGCCTAAAGAGAGAAATGTGTTTGTCTTTCCCATGACAGTAGGGAGAATCTAGACATTTAGTTTAGGTTACTTGACTTGCTTACAGCAGATATCTTAATTTTGGATATTAAAAGTTAACATGACTCACTCATCAGAGAGCTGATGTATATAATTAGTATAAGCTTCATAAAAGATTAACATTTTTGTGTTACGTGTATGAGGACATATTTTGATTTCAGATACTAAAAGTGTTACATTTGCTACTACACTGAACCACTACAATATCAGAGAAATGATTTGGTTTGCATATCTATCATTTCTTATTTGAATCAATATTTTTAATATACTGAATGCCTATTTTCTTATTTTAATTAGTATTAGCAGAACAACTCTGTTGAGCAACTGCAGAACAACTGCTTTCAATTAGAATCTTTTGATTTCCATTTCATTGTCAATATTTTCAAAGTTACAGAAGAATATTAACTTCTACTGAGTTAATAATAGCAAGGATGAATATCTAATATGATGGGATGTTTGAGGACAGCCCAGAAGGAAGTTTGAAATACTTATACTAAAATACTAAGTGAGAAATACTTATACTAAAAATATGTAAAATATGGACACAAGTTTTGATAAAATTTCTACATAGTGGCATCAACCCAATTCTGAAATTTCCCATTTTTCAGGCATTCCTTAGAACACAGAGAGATCTCTATTATCATGACACTTATGGGTGATTTTGCTAAAATAGCAAGCATGCTGTTTTACAGATTTCCTAATAAGGACTTAGGGCAAAAATCTACATTTTGAGGACCAGTAGATTGAATTTTTGCCTCTAATATTGTTGTATATGGGTGAATTACTGGAATTTCAAAGGTCTGTTGTCAGCTTCCAAACTGATAGAAACAAACAAGTTCTAACAGAAAAGGGTATCATAAGTAGCAAAAGACTTCTACAGTCTTTATAAACCATAACAAACACAGTGCTTCTGAAGGAATATATGGATCAGGTGGAATAATCACATTTCAGAACATCTAACTCAGAGTGCTAAAAGTAAGGATACGACTGGGCTTGGACAAAAGAGGCCACTCATACTGGACACTGAGTTGACGCAGGAAACTCCATTGCTGCACTTGGCAACTTCTGAAGTAGTGGAAACCAGATGTGGTAAGGAGGTCACTACTGGGACAACTTAGTTTATGTTGACATGTTTTTCTGGTCAGGAGGATGGAAGGACAAACTATTTATCTGGAGGAAGAGTGCAGCACCCTCTAAGGACACATCCTGCTTACAGAGAGGAGAACCAAGAATTGCACACTGAGAATTAAGAGGTCCCAACAGCTCAAAATTGCTGTAAAGGCGATATAAACCTTATATTTCTGACTACATTTAGTTTGGGATTTATCTGAGAGCAAAGGGCTTCAGAACTCACTTAAAAATTAAATTTTGATACTGGCTTAATTACACTATAAAGTTTCTTGGTAATTTTCTGTCCATTTAGAGCATGGGTTGAAGCACATCTGCAGGGTTGGTCTGACTATAATAACTGCCACACTTTGCCAGTATCCGGTTGGTAGATCCTTTAAGCTTATAAAATACTTTAAAGGCATATGTGTGAAAAGTGAACATACTCAGTTTCCATTAAATAAGAAAAAAAATCCCAACATTGTATGATTTTTAATATAGCAAGTATAATATTTTTTTATCTTTGATGGCTAAGAAAGTTTAAGAAATGCTTAAGAAAGACACTGTGTGCCTTGGCATGAGTTGATTACAGCTGATCTTTTTTTCTTTAAAACTATATTTCTCATTCTAATTTCCTATTGCCTATCCTTGGATTTAAGTTTTAAGGGAAATGACTCTTCTAGCACGTCACTGCCTTTATCATGGCAATTCCAGTCTACCTTAATTGACTTTTCTTGTAGATGTCTAATGGGAAGAAAATCCCTGTATACTCTGTTTGAGTCTGTAGCAATCCCCTAGCTATGATTATTTTATCTCTGTTAGTCCACTCAGTAGAGTAATATTTTGGAAGGTGTCATGAAAAATAAATGGCTAAGCATTTAGAATGCGTAAATTATCTTGGAAATGCTCAAAAGCTTTTGCATCTGATGTACAGAGATTTCACATGTCCAGTTTTACATTTACAAAGGAAATTATTTAAATAATCTTTCTGTACATGTAGTTAGCAGAAATTCAATGAACTGCCTGTCAGATAAAATGCATCAAGTACCTTCCATTGTATTTGTAAGTATGCTGGCTATGCTCATTGCTCTTTGTCTTGCAGCAGACTCTTCCAGCATTTCCATGGAAATTTGATAAGAACTCAGTCTTCTTTTCCTTATTTCTGTTTCTGTAGTGGTGCCCTGTAAATGAAATACTGAGGAATTAGATCATCCTTTTCAACAGCCAATTAACAATTGTAGTGAAAATCAAAATCAGCTTTGTGCAACATACTAAGCTTTTCTTACACACTGAAGGTTTCTGTTCCTGTAGAGATTTCTTTCTTCTTCATTGAGGAACTCACTACTTTGTACATTGCTGTAAATAATCAACTGGAAGACCCAATATCAATGCAATGTGGGACCAGAGGTAGTTGACATTTAAATGACTGGCTGAACAAAATTTTTGCTAGATATCTTTTGATTATTATTATTATTTCAAAAAAAATGCTCAAAATTGAAACCTGACACCTTAATTTCCCACAGATAGTAATGTTAAATAATGAAAGGGTGAGTACAGAGAAAAGTGAACTTTTATTTAAGAAAGTAACCTGGATGCAAGAAACATGAATATAATTTTAGAAATTAAGTATATCTAGAATACCACTTACTGTATTCCTAACCTGATAAGTGTGGTTGGAAAATTTTATAGAAGAAAAACCCCGCATCTTATTTAATATTTCTTCTACCTAATTCTCACCCACCACAATGCTCATACAGAGTTTGTGATAAATTCTTGCAATGAATTTGCAAGTCCCCTTCGTTTTGTATGGCTTCTAATTATCTTTTCAAAGCAATAATGCTCAACTCTGATTTAAATGTGACTAACGTGTCACTACTGTGCATCATGTAGGTGTCCTTACAGTTGCTTTGCTTTTCTTCTAGACTGTTACCTAGGGATCTAAGCATAGGAGTGGGATTAAAAAGCTCCTAAATCTTGGTTCCTGCTTTACCACTGATTCTGTGATTCAGAGAAATAACTTACACTTTTTCACATTATTCTGTCCCCATTCATGAAAAGGAGAAAAAAAACTTGGAGAACTCATAAGGGATTTTAAAGTTATCTTAGTGTGAAGGTGAAACATCACCTTTGAGCATTCACTAGTACTACTTCTTTAGAGAAGACTCCTGAGTTGAATTACTCATTTCAAGTGAATGTATTTCTGAAACAGAACTATATATGCATAATCACTGAGGTAATATGATGAAAAAAAAAAGACAAAAGGGTAATAGAAGTACTGAAAACTCAATACTTATTTATAATGCAAATATTTTGCAGCTTAGATAACAACCTATTTTAGACATCACAATACCATACTGAATCCATAGTAAAATACTATATATGAAAAGGCTTGTCTTTTTGAAAGTTTGAAAGAACATCTTAGCTTACAGAAGTCTGAAACTGAGTCTGCAATGTAATGTAATTGCAAAGGTACACAGGAATTTATGTATTTTTCACATGAAAGTTATGAGAAAAAATTCCTCAAGATAAACTCAGTAAGGTGTATTTCTATTAACTATAATGACAGTAGCAACTGCATTCTGCTTAATTTTACAAATGTTTTCCTGTACATCTTTCCAAGCCATAGCCTTAGTTATATATAGAATCTCTACCTTTGTTGAAGTGAAACTTTATACAAATTGTCAAATTCGTTTTTTCTTTCTACGTGTAGATCTCTTGCTGAAAGCAAGGAGAATATACTACTTTACTGAGGCTCAGAAATAGGAGGCTGAGGACTTATTTTCCTTTATGTTCTGTTATTTAGAAACTATTCCAAATTATTTCACATTGCTCTAAGAAATATAAGGAATGTAGAGTTAAGGAGTAAGACAAAATTCTGTGCCTGAACCAAACTGTAATAATTACTGGTTTACTTATAATTACCTCTGGTATGAGCTGACCAGTGGGTGAAGTTAAAGTTGAAGGTCCTCCAACCAAGGAGACTACTCCATTGCAATCCACAGTGCTGTGCATCTTCCCATTTACTGGAAGGGCTGGTATCATTCTAGATGACACACTTGCCTGACTAACGTTACTGTTGCGCCGTTCTCCATGTCGATTTGGAACAAAGAGAGAATCTCTTCTGCTCTCATTGTCTTCAAGAGTGCTGTGCTCATCATCAGCAAAGTCATTTTCAGATCCTACATCCTTTGCATGACCTCTGAAACTGAAAATGCTCGTTTTGCTGTTGCGCCTTGGTGAGAACAGAGAACCACGAATGCTTAACAAAGACTGTAAAAGATTTAAAACAAACCAAACAAAACAGCATTAGAACTGAAGTTGTAAGTTCTTGGCTTTTCAAAGAATAGTTACAGTGCTGGAGGAAGGAGAGTAAATTTTTTTCCATAGTATAAGTGTGTCCATTAGGTGAACGTGCTCATCGGGGACCTGAAGTAGAGGGGCATTTACCATAACATAGCAGGACTGAGGAAAAGTTGTGCAGAAGATATAAGTAAGGTTGAACAGTTTTGAGTGAAGAAGGTGCTCTAAACTGGTATGGACCCATGACTGTGCTGGAGGCAGTTTTCAACAGCACTATTAAGGATTTGCAGATATTTGTTTTTTACTCCCTGGATTCCTAGGGATAACAACTAATAATGCTCACTCATCACTGAAGTGATCTTCAGTTTGGCATTAAATTTAGTCTAAACTGATGTAAAGAACTTGACTGACCTCTTCACAATAGGCTCAGTAGTGTGGGAACAGCAGTTCTTCTCCCTTACTACATATTTTATTAACAGCCTTCATGAATAAATAAAATGAGTACTAATTGTGGAGAAAAGAAACCTTGTATTCAGCTTTCTTCAATTCTGCATTGAATGCAAATTCTGCATTCAATTCTACAAATTTTCACATCTTGGTACACCAAAAACCCGGTTTGAGATGATTCTCAATTTTTCACTAGTTTTGCAGGTGGAAAATGCTCATACGTAATAGCAGTGGGTTTTATCCCAGGATAATTAAAGTGAAAGTGAAAATGGCCCTGAAGTGTAAAAACCTATGTTAATACTGTGAAAAGCAAACATGGAATATATAGATATATCAATCCATATGTATCTCTGTATATGCATAGTTAGATGTATAAATTCACACATAATATGTGTGCTGAACTAGTAGCACTGTCTGTTATAAGGACTGACAGGTGTTTACCATTATGAGATATATTTTTTCTCCTCTTACAGCTATACTAAATTTTAATATTTAGGATGAAATTTTCTATGCTGGCTGTCAGCCTCAGGCTGAGTTACTTGAAGAATATCAGCCAAATGGTTTTGCTAACCCACTTATGTAAACTTGGCTGGAGAAAAAGTGCTGTTTTGCTTATACTGAAAGATAATTTTATCCAAAAGAAAGCTCTAGCTTCTACAGAGTATGACATTGAATTTTGACAAAGCAGTGAACTAATTACTACACCCTTTTTACATTTCTTTGTAAATGTATCTGGCCAACCTACAGTCCTTCAAAAAAACATGTGCCCACTAGGGTTTCGTATGACTACCAGTGATACCCTTATTCTTTTAGAGAATGTTCCCATGGCTGCTAGGTTTTATTTGCAGGCCAATCTTTCCAGTATGTGTTACCATGTTCTGAGCACAGCTAATTGCATCAGCCCCCTCAGGGATATGGGAGGAGTGATGCCTGCTGTGCAAGTCTCTGCTGCATTGAGACAAAAGATATAAGCTGAAATGGCTATAATTTTAACACATGTAGAGGCAGAAATATATGTATCTACATGCTCTTGGAAAGTAAGGTCGGAAAGGAAGGCTTGACTTTTCTGGCAGGCTGCATCATTCATTTGGAAGTGGAGTATTGCGTCAAAGGACAAAAACTCTCACAGGGGCCAACTGAGCAGATTATCTCCTCTTACCATTCTGCCTCATTGTTTCATGCTCTGGACCCTGTCTCACCAGTGAGATACTGCATAGCTAACAAGACAAATGAGCTCTTCCTTTACTAATTCTACTGTTTGCAATTCTTTCATTCTTGTGGCACCTCAGTTTTAGTTATATGCTGGCAACTTTTGCCCCAAAGCATTGTTACAACTGCAAAAACAATCATCAAGAGCGTCTTTAATTAATAAACAATCCTCAACATGGGTGATACAGGTAGGTCAATGTTATCTCAGACCACACATTATCATTTTGAAGAGATGCATTTTGAGTGATTTTTTCTACAAATGCCATAACTGTGTGCAGCCTTGAAATAAGCAAAGGTATCTCAGAATCACAAAATCATTTAGGTTGGAAAAGACCTCCAAGATCATCAAGTCCAACCTTTGACCGATCACTACCTTATCAACTAGACCATGGCACTAAGTGCCACATACAGTCATTTCTTGAACACCTCAAGGGATGGTGACTCCACCATCTTCCTGGGCAGTCCATTCCAATATCTAACAATCCTTTCTATGAAGAAATTCAACCTGATGTCCCACCTGAATCTCCCCTGGCACAGCTTGAAGCTATGTCCTCTTGTCCCGTTGCTGGTTGCCTGGGAGAAGAGGCTGACCTCCACCTGGCTACAACCTCCTTTCAGTGAGTTGTAGAGAGTGATGAGGTCTCCCCTGAGCCTCCTTTTCTCCAGAGTAAATAACCCCACCTCCCTCAGCCTCTCCCCATATGATTCACTCTCTAGACCTTCACCAGCTCCATTGCCTTTCTCTGGACATATTCCAGCACCTCCATGTCTGCCTTGAAGAGAGGGGCCCAGAAGTGGACACACAAGGTGCAGCCTCACCAGTACCAAGTACAGAGGAGTATCCTTAAGTGGTAGAAGAGATCCTTTGATTTATGGGAGTAGAGCTTTGAAGTTTGGACTAAATGATTTCCAGAGGTCCTTCATAAACTACTTTTTTTCTACGATTGCAATGATTCTCCATAATGTATAATGAATTTCTAATGATAAAGAATGGTTTGACTAAATTCTTATAAATACGAGCCCTAACAATCCTTATGTAGTTCATCTTTAATGTGGAGTACTAGCACTACTTCTCTCATTATCAATCTGTTAAAGAAGCTAATTAAGGAAAATAATAGAAACTAATGGTTATGTGGGATTTCCTATGCAGGGTATTTTGATGTTGTAGTCTGCAAAAAAGCCCACATATCTATATACTTTTGAAATGGATGCAGAACAGAGAACCTATGGTTGATTAATGCAAATATACGAATACTAATCAAAGAGTCTTTG